GGGGGGGCGGGAGCTGCCGTGCAGCGCTCCTCTTTGCCAACACCTTCTGGGCTGTTTAATCAGTAACTCGGGGGCCGAGCTCGGCTGGGGCTCCAGCTCCGAAGGAGCCTCACGGGTGAACTTCCACCTTTGGTTTTTTTGAGTTCACGCCCCAAAAACGTGCGTTTTGCCGACCTGGATTCGCGCCGTGCAGCCGGCCGCGGGGCAGTGCGGGGATGCCCCGGCTGGTTGATTCCTCGCTGAGCTCCCGTGCCGAGCTCCGTGCCTTCCTGGGAAGCTGGTGGCCAGGCTGAGACAAACCCCTTTGCTCTTGGGAAGGTTGTGTGAGCTGAGTTTGCCCGGCCTCAGCCCAGCTGCGTGTCCAGAGAGGTGGAGAAAGCAGCCCAGAGCAAAGCCACCTCTGCGCCAGCCCTGCCCACCTTGCAACCCAAAAGCCATGTGAAGAGGAGAACTTTGGATCCAGGTCACCCAAGACCCAAATAACTGGGTTTCTCCCCAAAGGGAAGAAGCCGCTTCCCTTCTGGCTCAAATGACACTTTTTGAGCAGGCTCCTGGGTTTTATCCCCTCTAAAAATAAAAGAGCAGATCGATATAAATCAATATTGCCCTTCTGGGTGAGAAGGAACCCGGCCTGCTCGCCCACTTTCGCTTCTTAGTGGTTTTTTTGCGAAGCTCTCTGCTAAATTCAGCTCGGTGGGGAGGTCACGTTGTGGGACCGCAGCTGCAGGCACCTGTGCTGGGGAGCTGCAGCCCAAAGTCTTCACCCGGGTTTCACAGGGGGAGAAGATGGTGAGTGCTGGGGACATGGAGCCATTGCTGTGGAGGTGGTGGAACACGGAGGTATTGCTCTGGAGGTGACAAGGACGTGGAGGTATTGCTCTGGAGGTCACAAGGACGTGGAGGTATTGCTGTGGAGGTGGTGGGGACACGGAGCCATTGCTCTGGAGGTGATGGGACACCAAGGCGTTGCTCTGGAGGTGACAAGGACACAGAGGCATTGCTCTGGAGGTGGTGGGGACACTGAGGCGTTGCTCTGGAGGTGACAAGGACACGGAGGCATTGCTCTGGAGGTCACAAGGACGTGGAGGCATTGCTGGGGAGGTGGTGGGGACACGGAGCCATTGCTCTGGAGATGGTGGGACACCGAGGCGTTGCTCTGGAGATGACAAGGACATGGAGGCATTGCTCTGGAGGTGGTGGGGACATCAAGGCCTTGCTCTGGAGATGACAAGGACACAGAGGTATTGCTGTGGAGGTCACAAGGACGTGGAGGCATTGCTGTGGAGGTGGTGGGGACGCAGAGCCATTGCTCTGGACATGGTGGGACACTAAGGTGTTGCTCTGGAGGGGATAAGGACACAGAGGCATTGCTCTGGAGGTGGTGGGGACACTGAGGCGTTGCTCTGGAGGTGACAAGGACACGGAGACGTTGCTGTGGAGGTCACAAGGACGTGGAGGCATTGCTGTGGAGGTGGTGGGGACACGGAGCCATTGCTCTGGAGATGGTGGGACACCGAGGCGTTGCGCTGGAGGTGACAAGGACATGGAGCCACTGCTCTGGAGGTGGTGGGGACATCAAGGCGTTGCTCTGAAGGTGGTGGGAACATGGAGGCGTTGCTCTGGAGGTGGTGGGGACATCGAGGCCTTGCTCTGGAGGTGACAAGGACACAGAGGTATTGCTCTGGAGGTCACAAAGACATGGAGGCATTGCTGTGGAGGTGATGGGACACAGGTATTTCTCTGGAGGTGCTGGAACACTGAGGCATTGCTCTGGAGGTGACAAAGACATGGAGGCATTGCTCTGGAGGTGATAAGGACATAGAGCCATTGCTCTGGAGGTGATGTGGCCATCAAGGCATTGCTCTGGAGGTGATGGGACATAGAGTCCTTGCTCTGGAGGTGGTGGGACACAGGTATTGCTCTGGTGGTGTTGGGGACACAGAGTCCTTGCTCTGGAGGTGATGGGACACAGAGGTATTGCTCTGGAGGTGACAAGGACACAAGGCTCTGCCCAGAGGTGCTGGACTCAGTGGTTCCCGGTGGCCATGCATGGCTGGGGTGCATGGCAAGAGGGAGGGCACCCTTTGTTGCTTTACTTTCTTTCTCCACCTCAGTCTCTGTCCACCTCCAGCTCTCCGTCCCTTCCCTCCTTCCCTTCCCCAGCCACCTCGGCTAGTCCCCACTGTCCCCATCCCACCCTTCCCTCTCCCATCCCCATCCCCATTTCCCCTGCTGGCAGAGTGACCCCCTGGTCCCCAG